CTTCATATTTAGCCTACATAATATATTTTATTTAATAAACTAAATAACAATTAAAAAAAAATGACTTACTCCTTTGTTTAATCGAACAGTCAAATCAGTAGCTGAGACACTAGGTGTTGGAACATGAAAATATATACCAGTTAATTTTCCATTTAAATCAGGAATTATTTTTCCAACCTAATTACAAATAAATCTAAATATTTTACATTTTAAAGATAAAAAAAACAATCCTACAGCTTTAGCATCATCAGTTGATGATGGAATAATATTTTGTGTAGCTCCACGTCCATTACGCCAATTCTATAGAAATAAAAAAAAATTAAATATTATTTTATTCTTGTTTCATTTAATACTTTATTTGATGATTCATCAACAGTTTTTTGTGCAACAGTATATGAATGTATAGTTGTTATTAAACCTTCAATAATACCAAATTTTTCATGAACAACTTTAGCAAGTGGTGCTAAAGCATTTGTTGTATATGATGTAGCCAAAATGATTGTTTGGTTTTCTCTATATTTATCTTCATTGACTCCCATAACAAACATTGGAGAATCAACTGATGATGCTGCAATTATAACCTTTTTAGCACCGGCGTGTAAATGTGATCGACATTTGGCAATTGTTGTAAATACACCAGTTGATTCAACAATATATTCAGCACCTGAAAAAAGAGAGAAAGAAAGAAAACCAATAAATTACTTATTATTCAAGTTTAAATGAAACAACATACCGACTTCACTCCATGGAATGTCTGATGGATCTTTTCTAAAAATGAAAACAAATGAAACATTGAAGTTTATTAATTTAAAATTTTTACTCATTATGGACATTGATTTTCTTTCCATTTACAAAGAGTTTTCCTTTTATAGTTGAAACTTCACCTTTGAAGCGTCCATGTGTTGAATTGTATTTAATCAGATAAACCATATAATCAGCAGGAATAAATGGATCTGTAAGGATATGCTTTATTAGATATATAAACAAAAATATTTAATACTAACCATTGATAGCAACTACTTGAATATCTTGTTCAAGTGTGCATCGAAAGATCAATTGACCAATACGACCGAATCCATTTATACCAATTTTAATATTTGCTAAACCACGTGGACTAATAATGAAAGAAAGAATTCCGACTGTGTTACGAGAAGAAAACAGTACAATTAGGGTGATATGTAGAGATGCTGGCTTAGCATTAACGTTGCATTAACTTAATGCTAACGCCAATAGCTTTCAGTTACGACTCAAAGACAATAGCATTACCACTTATGTTGATAAATGTCATGCTCAACAGAAGCTGCTATCTCTGACTAATAGTATCGCTACGACTTCTGTGGTTATACAAATAAATTGGTGCAGGAATATTTCAGTGTTTGTTACAGAAGAAGCAAAATTTCAATAATGCCAATGAATCAGAGCTGTCGACCTGGCCTGCTGCCTGGCAGGCGCTTGGCAGGCATCAGGCCAGGCTAGCAGGCCAGGCCGGATTTTGAAATTTTGGCCTGGCCTGATCAGGCCGAAAAATTTTTGGCCTGGCCTGCAGGCAGGCCAGGCTGAACTTGGTTGCCTGGGTCATTTTATTTGTATTATTTTTCCTTATCAATTTTAGCAAGACAAATACACTCAATTCCAGTAACTAGTGCTGGTATAGAACGGCAGTTTAGTATTACTAGTCTTACATTAACTGATCGAAGATCTGGTTTGGATCCAGAACAACTGGACAATATCCTATGTATTCGGGCTATGTCGAAATTAGGTGGTAAAACTTAAGAGGGTCCCCTCAGAAAATTTAATTTTTTGGAGACGAGTCGAGGTTGAAGTTTTATCATAGGAAGATGCACCGAATTCTCCTCTTTCAGAATATCTATTGTTTATCGACAAATGAATTGATTTTGACGAACTTACCGTTTAAAACTTGGCTCCTACTATCATATTTTTCGAGAAATTTTCACGATTTTTGTTCAAGCTTTTTCAACGTTTTAGGCTGCTTTCTCTTTCCATCAGCATGTCGTAAAGTTTTTTTTTAAATACTAATCACTAAGAGACTATGAACACTTAATATTAAGATCATATATTTATAGCCTGCCTTGAACATTGATATATAAATCAGGTGATTTTCGGAAAAATCGATTTCTGGTACTTATTTTCCGTTTTCCTCAAAGTCAGTTTTTTCGAGCATGCAGTTTACGCGGGCAGGTTTTTCTCCATAACGACTCGACATGGAAATAATAATTTTCTTTTATTACATAGAAGGCAGTTAGAACTAGACAGAATTGTGACTGGTCTAAAATTTTTAGAGCGGTCCGGTCTAAAAAATAATTCCAGACCGGTAAAAAACAGCGAGTTTATAGAGCTTGTTCATGTGATAAAAGTGATATTAGGGGCAAACTTTTATTCTAGACGCTTATATGTTTTCACCTAGGAGAAAACAACTAATTTTTTTAAAAATTTTTATCAATTCGAAAGGAAAACAATCAATGTAAGAAAAACAATCAGAATATTACTTATTCGAAAAGAACTAATCTTGCGCGTTTTGTGCCTTGTTTTTTAAGTATTTTCTTACAATTTAAATCTATAGGTAGAAGTTAATTTAAAAAGACAAGACGTTTCGTACATTTAGACAATAAAGGTTTATTCGCTTAACCTTTACAAATAACGTAACGCTTCTCTCTCGACGATGGCTCGAACCTAAATTTTATCTTTACAAAAAATGTGTGAGATAAGTTTAACTGAACTAATACAGTTTCGAATGTACATTTTAAAAAATATCGATTAAAGAAATTAAATAGGTTGAGGAGCAGAAGGAAAAAAATGTATAGTTTTTAAAAGAAAACAAGTTGGTTGTTTTGATAAGGGCATAAAAACTTGCTATCAGCAAGTGTTATCTGAAAATCTGTATATTCATAAAATATATTTCAACTAGTAAAAACCGGCGAAAACCGGCCGGTGGAACTGCTTCAACCGATCCAGTCCGGCCAGATCGAGCCGGTTACAACTCTGGGGCTAGAGCCTCACATAGCTCGATTTTTGAATTTCTCTATTGGTAAAATAATAAACTCAAATGTCTCAATTATATTTGTGTTCTTTTTTGGTCATGATTCGAGAAGTTTTCGGAGAAGAGTTTTTATATAACAAACGAAGGGAATTTTGAAAATCGGGCTCTGTGAGAATCTAGTGCCAAGGGTACTCTACATTAAAAATAGCCTCGCTATGTGTACTCGTGTCCTAATTGTAAAAACCTGGCCCGCCTACAGGGCACTTTTGACTAATAAATAGATGATAACTCGTGAATAACTAATAGATTTGAAGAGATATTTTAACCATAATCTACTCTAGTGAAGACTAACATTCTCTGAAATTTTGGTTGAACTCCACCGAAAAATAAAAACGTTCATTTCTGGGGGGGAGGGAGCCTTGAAAATATTACGTTTTTGTTATTTGTCTCATGTCTTATTTGGTATATTAATTGTCATAAAGTATATGTGTATTCTATTGTATATTGCTTTTTTGCTATTATGTATATTTTTCTTGTGTAGGTGAAACAGGTATAAACTTTATCATTATATTTTCTAAATTCTAGCATTTATTGTTCGAAAAAAACCTGATTAAAATGAGTTGATTTTCATTATGCGTTTTTTGTAAAGATGTGCAATCATATTATTTTGATAATAAAGGATTAAATACGAAACTGAAACTGATGTCTTAAATTATTGCCAAAGTATCAATTTACCAATCTGAAAAATCAAATACACCATTTGGCCTGGTTTTGCCTGCAGGCAGGTCAGGCCAGGCCAGGCTGCAGGCTGATTTTTGAATTTTAGCCTGGCCTGCTAAGCAGACCAGGCAGGCCAGGCCAGGCTGAAAAAAAGTGGCCTGTTGGCAGCTCTGTTTTAAATTGATTGATATGTATTGATCTTTATTCGAAATCTTTTGTTTTTGAGAATATTTGTCTCTGTATGTAACAAAAAACAGGAAAATCATCAATGCGATAAGAAAATCAAACGAAGAAATATTTTTGTTAAAGTTGTTTTTTCGTATTTTGATGTTGTGTGAGAGCTAGAGAAGATTACAAAAAGACGTCATCTTCGAAGAAATTAGACGGCTCGCACGTTGAACGAGAATTTTTTTGTCGAAAATAAGTACAACGAACCTCTGGAAAAATTTGGATCATATATTGCACAGAAATAAAACTACATGAATAAAATAAATAACGCAAATATATATATTACGTGAAGTTCTTCCAGAGCATAGCTTCCATTTAGTGAAAAGCAAATTTTTAAATTCATTACGTTTAGTGTTGCAAAATAATAGGACTTCTATATTCCTTCAATGAAATATAATTTTTTCTTTTCTTTTGCCTGATCTATTCATCTTTTTTCTGTTCATGCAATTGCTCGTATGTATCATGAAAATGTGTAGAGAAAAAGATGAAGCGGTAAAAGAGAGAGAATAAAATCAAACAACTTTTGTTGAATGATCGAGAAGTTTTCCTTGTTTTTTTCTACAGAAATAAGGTTATTTATGAAGTTTTTAGTTTTCAATTTATTCTATTTACATTTTCATTGAGACCTGCTATGGTGCCTATTCATACAAATTTATCATCTTGTTGTGTTTTATTGATTGATTATAAAACTAACGAATATTAAAATAAACCAAACATTTCTTTTCGAAAATAATATTTTTATACATCAGGAAAGGTATTTTAAAATTTTACCCTATATGAAACATATCAATATCTTAAAATTTATTTATGTGGGATGAATATTCTAAAAATACATCATTAGTAACTGCTAGTGGAATGAATGTTTGATTAAATTTTCACAGACATATTTTCTATTCTCAACAGCAGATTTAGAAAAGGATTTTTTCAACGAGAATGATGTAAGTTCCTTATTTTCTCTTTCCTTCTCTTCTATCACTAAGGGTTGCTTTCTTCATTCAGAAACAACGTTTTTTGTTTATTTTTTCTATCTTAACGATGCTATGCCACATGTACATAAAAATGTGAAATTGTTCAAATCTAATGATATTGTAACTCGAATATTTGGACACTAAAAACTTCATAAATAACCTTATTTCTGTAGAAAAAAACAAGGAAAA